CTCGACATTTTTCCCAAAACTCATCTCGGGAACTTTTACTATCCTCTTATCGACCCACAAAGCCAACAGTTCATTCGGATGATGGCCACGTCCACGAACAGAGAGCTCATTTCACCGCTTCGGTTACAGCGCGCTATATAAGTATTCGAGACAATTCGGTCGGAGATATCTGACCACCAAGAGATTGTCTTCGGAAAACCCAGTCAACTTCGACACTGGTACCCTAGTTCGCTTCTAAGCACTGGCTTCGACTATATCAGCTCGGGTCGCAACCGATAGAGATTAGTCCCATATAACCAAAACCCAGTTACCTTAACACTGGTGAACGATCCATTTCACTTTCAGTTCGGAAGTGGAAACGGTTCGGGAGAATTAACTTTTTCACATCACACTTACAAAAACCTAGTTATCTTAACACTGGTTCGCTATTCCGAAAGATAACTTCTACTGAACCGAAACTCATTTTTACCAAAACCCAATTACATTGATATTGGTGTATAATTCGGTTCAGAAGTTAAAACGACTCGGAAAAGACTAACTCCTCGATGAACAAGTCATGTTTACGAAGTTACTTCGGAAGCAACTCAAGATGAACGAAACAATTCAAGTATTTAAGGAAACATGCATTCAAAGGGATAAAGCCGTCAAGGCACAAGTCTTACAAAAAGGAGAAGAATCAAAACAAATCCAGAACATAAAAGAAGGGGCGCCTCGGGATCACTTATCCTGCTCCTCGTCTGGAACAAGCGCAGCCTCGGAGCCCAGGTTCGTCCCTGCTTGATCTATAACTCCAACTTCGATCGCCTCGCCCTCCACCGACCTATTCCCAAGGCTATCATGAGCAGAGTCGGGCGACACCGGAGGAATCTTCAAAGTTTCGAGCAGCTCGACCGCGAGCTGAGAATACTCCGCTTCGGCGTACCCGAACTCTTCTTTCCATGCCTCTACCTCTTTCTTCTCGTCCTCGATCGACTTGCCCTCCTCGAGCTCGGCAATCAGCTCGGCGTTAGCCTTAGCCTGGGAGAAGTACATGTATCGATCAGCGACCTGGTCGAACTGTTCCAGCTTCGCCTCGATCGTTTTGATCTGCTTGGCGAACTCTTCGGTAACCTCCCTTTTGGCAGCCTTCCTGGCTCGAGCAACCTCGGCCTCCCGAAGGGACTTCTCCTCGGCAAATAGGCGGTTGAGGCGCTCAATCTCCGCTTCGGCTTTCTGCCGAATTCGAGCGTTCTCCTCGGCATCCTTCTGCCTCGCTTCTTGCTCAGCCGCAACCAAGGCCTCGGCCCTCTCCCTTGCTGCGGTCGCCTTGGTTACTCTCCTCTCCGATTCCGCTCGGGCCATCTCAAACTGCTCGCTGGCAGCTTCGCGCTAGCGGTTCGCGGATTCGTAAGAACGAACTAGCGTGTTCATTGAGGAGAAAGCCTGGGGATAAAACGACATGTTAGGAACGGAAAAGAACTTCGAAACAAGAGGTTCAACAAAAAAATTATTACCTTCAGAAAGTTGGCCGAAGTCTCGGCGTATCTTTCCGCCTCGGCCAGATTCTCAGGGGCCGTCAACAACGGCCATGCACACGAAGCAACAAGGTTGGCCGAAGCCACCTTGTCCTTGTAAATCGGTCGAAAGCTGCTGTGATCGCTCTTCGACTTCTTCCTCTTATCGGTAGAGTGGTCGCCCCGAGGACGTTTTCCCTTAGACTTGGCCTGTCTACCAGCAGCCAAGCCGACCACAACTTCGGTGTGTTCGACCTCGGGAGCTTGAACTCCACCGTCCCCAGCTAGGACATCGTCGACCGCTTCGGGAGGAACCGAAGTAACAGCTAGATCAACCCCGGATCCTTCGGGGCCCTTAACCACTTCGGGCCTGCCAGACGCCTCGGGTAGATCGGACGCCTCGGGCTTTCTAGACCCCTCGGTCAAAGGTTTGAAAACCGCCTCGAGAGCTCTTTTCTGCTCGGCCGCTTCCTTCTCAGCAGCCTTTTTCTCCCTTAGCGTCATCTTCGCCTTCTGCATCTCCGTGTAGCCGCTTAATCGGTGATCCGAAGAGGATGATGATGATGAACAGGACACGCCTCGGAGTAATCTCAGCGCTTTCTCGACTCTTTTGAGCGTAAAATGCTTGGTCCAGTTACACTTCCGGGAAGCCAACTCCTCGTGAGTTTCTAAAAGATCTTCGGGGATAAGCTCGAGGAACGTCGGGTTACGATCTGAAAATGAAAACAAAACTGGTTAGAATAAATCGATCAAATCACGACAGAAAGAAAACTCAAACGCTTCGGGTAAACTACCGATTTTGCCCCATTTCGCAACAATTTTATCAAGGCATCCCTCGAGGACGGAGACCTCGTCAATCGCGACGAAGAAGAAATGATCAGTGTACTTCTCATCCTTGCTCGGGAACCCGCAAATGATCTTTTTATTTTTGCTCGGCGAGATGTAGTATCTTTCCAGAGGACCCGGGCTACGACGAACCTCCAGGAAATTCCTTAAATGCCCGAGGGACAAAATTTTATCCGCCTCGAAACTCCTTACTAAGATCCCAATAAGATGCCGCAGTCCACGAGTTGAGATCTGAGCCAACGCAATCTTATACGACCACAAATACTCAACGATCAGCCTCGGGAGAGGGAACCACAGGAAACAAAAACTGAAAAACCCCTCGTACAACGTGAAGAACCCCTCGGGAGGATTATCGCCTCGTTCACTCGGGGTCGGAAGCCTCATCGTGACTCCTTCACTGAAACCGAACCGAGCTCTCAATTCTCTGAGGGAGTCCTCGGTGGATAGCGTAGAACCAGGAGGTTCGGGCCTTTTCACTTTTCTGGCTCGCTTCGTCTTCTGCTGTAGAGCCTTAGCCGCTTGCATCCTGGCCTGAAGCATTCTCGCCTCCGCGTCGGAATCATAGTGAACCGCCTCGGCCTTTACAGGGAGCAAAGACGGCTCGGGCGCTTTTTGCCAACGAGAACCCCCAGCTTCGTCCTTAGACGGAGGACGCGTTCTCCCCGTATTTAAAGCTGCCTCGGGGTCATCAGGAAGATCCTCATCCCGAGCCACATTCGCAACTGTATCCTCCTGAGCCACAAATTGGCTCGGATCTTGGTCCACGGATGACGATTTTGCTTCACTATCGCCGTTCTGCTCGGAGCAATCTGAAAAACTAGCCTCGGTTCCTTCCGAGGGACTGCTCCAAACCATCTTCCTTTCATGAACAGGAATGTTTCTGCCTCGGGACGAATCACTTGAATCAGAGAGTGACATTTTCGCCTCGGGTGAATCAAAAAGAATCGGAAAAACAAGATTTGAAATCGGAAAAACCAAATCTAAGATCTGGCACGGCGGAGGAACGACGGAAAATAAAGCAAAGCAGAGGAAATTAAAGAGATCAAGATCAGAGAGAAAAGAAGCGAACCTTAGAAATTTTCCTTGCAGATTGCGAAATGAGAAAATGAAACAGGAGTCGGATATTTATAGAACGCTTCGGCGCGTCGGGTACACACGAGTTTAATAATATTTCGCATCCGCCCAAGTCTCGGGCGCGTCGGGTGCGCGTGACCAACATTAAGATACTTCGCATCCGCACGGGTCTCGGGAATCAGCAGAGGACTCTTCCACTTCTCGAGGTAGAATCTCAACCGTCACACGCGCTAGAAGAAGATGAAGCGTCAAAGAGATTTGAATCGTCAAGAATCAGAATCACCGAAGGACACTAACCATCTTTGAAACATTGAAAATTTTGCGGCATACAAGGATGGGCTCGGAACAAAGTTTAAAACGGCTAGGACTAACAGTCGTGAAGCTCATCGGTTGCTCTTCGAACCAACGAGCTGGGGGGCTAACTGTTGGGGTCGGATTTCATCCCATAGCACCGAGCCGAACTTCGAACGCCTCAGGGAACTTCTGAAGACACCTCGGCGAAGCGAGCCATTCACCTCGGTGCAAACTGCCATTCACCTCGGTGCAAACTGCCATTCACCTCGGTGCAAACTGCCATTCACCTCGGTGCAAACTGCCATTCACCTCGGTGCAAACTGCCATTCACCTCGGTGCAAACTGCCATTCACCTCGGGTCACTGCATTGGTTGCCTCGGGGAACGCCCGTAGTCTGCTCGGGGTCTGTCAGCAAGCTTGTGAACCCGAGCCGGCTCCCTTCAAGTGCCCGAGCCGGTTCACTCCGGGAATCCGAGCCGGTTCGTGTCAAGACCCCCGAGCTGGCTCCTTCCGTGGACCCGAGCCGGTTTCCCTCGGGAGCCTGGGCCGTACCTCTCTTGTCCCCGAGCCGATTGCACAAGTCACCCGAGGCAAAGACTTGGTAAAATATTCGTCTTCAAAGTACCATTTCCAAGTAGGTCGTCATTTCCGAAAGAGAAGGATCATTTCCGATAAACCCGGAAATGATAAGGAAGAATCTCAAAGGATCGACTCAAATCAGGATATCTTCCAAGAAACTCCGAAGAATAAGGAAATTATCCTTATTCCGCGATATTCTAAGCCGACTTCAAGATAAATGGAAATCTTCCGAGAATATCGCGGGAGAGGCGGTTTATCACCCCTATATAAAGAACTCAAGGCTCAAGCGACGAAGGGGGCAATATCTCTCTAGAATTTACACTACACAAAGCTCTCACGGCACTAACATCTTTTTCTTTACGATCAAACTCTTGTACGATCAAAGTCATCTTTTCCTTAATAATATCAAGAACACCATCTTTGGTATCAATTGATTCTGTCGCTCTTTGAGAATTCTCGCAAATCGTATCCCTAAATTAAAACCCTAGACAAATCTCGATTGTGTTAGTTTCGACTTCCACAATAACATAAAGAGATTACATTCCAAGATTAGCTAAAACGGCACTAGTGTTTTTTTTTTCAAATATAAAAACTGCACGATATTCTAAATCCAAATAAATATTTCATTTTAATTATATTTTCACGAAGAAGATTAGAAGGGTGATGAAAAAATTATTACATTTATGAATCTATATTACAATTATAAACCATTGTTGTGCGGCATGAGGACAAGGGTTTCGTTAGTCATGATCATTTTTTTGGTCTAGGTACACAACTACGTGCACATCCAAGAGCATGCTCTGAATTACTACCTCCTACCTTTATCTTGATCTCGTTGAAGACCTTTTGATCCCAAACCCCTTTTCCTATTTCCTTCCCTAATAAGAAAGCAACAATAAGCTAATCAGTTTTGAATTAAACAAAAACCTAGTACAAAACCCCGAAAGAAGAAGAAATAAAATGATCCATTTTTTTGTTTTCCATTTACGAGCAAATAGTAAATTCAAAATGTAGTGAAAAAGTAAATGAGACGTCGTAAATTCATTTCTTTGCATTAATATTATTTGATTTGAAGATATAATTTTCGAATGGAATTAAACTAAAAGATCAAAGTATATTTGAATAACATTCTGCTTCATTCAATATTTAAACTTTACAAGCCAAAAATTTGAACTACAACCAAACCTAAACCATATCGAAGATAAATAAAATTTCTTGAGACAAAAAATTCTCACTTGAACTTGGAGATCCATATTGTACTCGGGCCAATGCTGTGTTTGGTAATTCAGAGAACAAGAGAAAACTCAAAGCTAGTACGTAAATCACGACTTTGTTCATGTTTTTGGTTGATTTAAAGGTATGGATTCAAAAGGTACGTAAACCATGTACTTTGTTCTCCACAATATATAGATAAATGAACGTCCCACGTTACGTGTTTATCATTTTTGGTCAAACACGTGACTTCAATATATATTGTTTTTCTTAGAAATGAAATCAGGTCACACGGATTGTTGGTTCGAGAACCCTAATATTTCTTTCTCTCAAAAAGTTTTACTTTTCATATATATGTAAAAATGGCGTATTTGACTCTTGAAAATGTATAAAGTCTTTTCTGAATTGGTCCAACTGAATTTTAGTTAGTCTCTTTATTGTGGAGAACAAAGTACATGTTCTAAGTTTAAGTGAGCATAGTTTAAAAGCAAAAGCCTTTGTTATTGAATAAAATACTATTAACACTTAAGAATGAAGTGTAGAATTCTCATTAATTGTAAAGTTCAGTACATCAGAGTATTTATATGTATAACAGAGTAAAGAATAGATTTAAGCTAAAGGAAACTTAATATCTATTTTGACTATACTCTATATATCTTAATATACCCCCCTCAAGCCGAATCATCTGAAGGTGTGAAGAGGCTTGAAACCGATAATCGGCTGAGAAGAGAGTAGAAAGGTCCTGGATGTAATGGCTTCGTCAAAATGTCTGCAAGTTGATTCCCTGTGTTGACATGTAAAACTTTCATGAAGCCATTTTTGACATGATCTCGCGTAGTATGACAATCATGTTCCACATGTTTGGTTCTTTCATGGAAAACGGGATTGTTAGCAATGTATGTTGCGGATTTGTTATCACAGAAGAGCTTCGGAGAGGATTCAACTGTAATGTGTAGATCCTTCAACATTTTACTCAACCATAGCAATTCCTTTGTAGTCAGTGCCATGCTTCTATACTCTGCTTCAGTGCTACTACCACTACTAACATCCTGTTTCTTGGATTTCCAAGAGATCAAAGAAGTACCAAGAAACACACACATACCAGAAGTAGACCGTCTTGTATCTAGGCAAGTGCCCTAGTCTGCATCTGCGAATCCATTCAAGCAAATTTCTGTGTTGACAGAGTAAAAGAGGCCTTGACCTGGATTGTTCTTGAGATACTTCAAAATTTGATATGCTGCTTGGAGATGAACATCAGTGGGACAAGATAAGAATTGGCTGAGGCGATGGACAGCATATGTTATGTCAGGCCTAGTGATGCACAAGTATAACAATCTCCCAATAAGTTCTCTGTAAGTGTACCATTCTCCAGCAGTGTACCAGTGTCCTTTGTGTATGGTATCTTTGGATCCATAGGAACAGACTTGGGTTTACACCCTAACAAGCCAAAGTAGCTAACAAATCCAAGCAATACTTCCTTTGACTAACTGATATTCCCTCTGAACTTCTAGCAATCTCAAGTCCTAAGAAAAATTTTGCTTCTCCTAAATCCTTTGTCTTAAACTGCTTTGCAAGAGTAATCTTGACATTCTTGACAGCCTCATCACTATTACTGACGATTAATATATCATCAACATAGACTAGGAGAGCAATAAGGGACATACCAGTAACCTTGACAAACATCGTGTCATCAGCATGAGATTGGATAAAACCATCATCAAGTAGAGCCTTCGAAAGACACTTATACCATTGGCGTGAGGCTTGTTTCAAGCCATAGATCGATTTATGTAGCCTGCAGACAGCATTAGGAGGTAAGTAACCATTAGCAGGAGTATAACCCTGTGGTAAACTCATGTATATTTCCTCTTCCAAGTCACTGTGTAGAAAAGCAGTAGTGATATCCATTTGTGACAAGCTCCATCCCTTTCTAGCTGCCAAACCAAGTAGAAGTTTAACACTTGCCAACTTTGCTACTGGGGAGAATGTTTCAAAATAATCCACTCCTTCTTGTTGTGTGAATCCTTTGGCAACCAATCTCGCTTTATATCTCTCTATAGAGCCATTTGCATTGTATTTAATGGTATACACCCATTTACAGCCAACCACATTCTTTCCTGCAGGTAAAGATACTATACTCCATGTTTTGTTAACTTCCATAGAATCAAGTTCCACATCCATTGCCTTTGTCCATTTCAGAGAAGCTATAGCTTGTTTAAAAGTTTTTGGTTCTGTCTCTATTGAAATGGATAATATGAAATCTTGGTATGAAGAAGTAAATTTTGAGTAAGATAAGAAAGAAGAAAGAGGATAAGGAGTAGTAATGACCTTTTGTGGTGGAAGAGAAGAAGAATTTATTTGAAGAAGAGCACAATGGTAGTCGGAAAAGTAAGTAGGAGCTCTAGTCTGTCGTTTTGACCTGACAGGAGCTAATGAAACAGTGGTGGTCTCTGTTGTCACAGCTTCTGTAGAAATATTTGTGCTACTAGAGTGTGTTGGTGGAGTGATATGAGATGATGATGCATGTGCAGGTAGAGACAATGCAGAATCAATGGCAGGTGGTGTTGAAACAGGGAGAATGCAGTTACCAAAGATATCATTTGATGGTATAGAATGCATTTCAGTTTTAAAGGAAAACTCAGTTTCATGAAATATCACATTCCTAGATACAGAAACTTGATTAGTATCTAAATGCAACACCTTATAGCCTTTGTAACCTGAAGAGTATCCTAAAAACACACACTTGTCTGCTCTAGGACTAAATTTATGACGATCTTTCTGTAAAGTAGCAACATAACAAAGACAGCCAAATGATTTTAAAAAAGAATACTGAGGACTTTTCTTTGTTAACATTTCATATGGTGTTGAATTTTCTAGAATGAGAGAAGGTGTTCTGTTTATTAAGAAAACTGATGTTAAAATGCAGTCACTCCAATATGCTAATGGAACATTAGACTGAAACAATAATGCTCTTGCCACATTAAGTAAATGTTGATGTTTCCGTTCCACAACAGAATTCTGTTGCGGAGTATAAGGACAAGAGTACTGATGAACCATACCATGCTTACTAATGATTTCATTAAAAGCTAATTCAGGAGCATTATCAGTTCTTATAGCTTTAACATTTGCATTATATTGAGTTTTAACATGCTGTAAAAACGCTTGAAAATACTTTAAAACTTCACTTTTATTTCTTAGCATATAGATCCACGTTACACGGGTGTGATCATCAACAACAGTAAGAAAATACTTATAGCCTTCTACAGATTCAACAGAAAAAGGACCCCAAACATCAAGATGAACAAGTTCAAAAGCGTTTTTAGATCTATTATTATGTGACTCAAAAGATAACCTTTTTTGTTTAGCTAATGGACAAATAGGACAGTGAGACTCTAAAATGACACTAGTTTTAGGCAAAGACAAAGTACCAGATAACACTTTTAACTTGTCAGAGGATGGGTGTCCAAGGCGTTGGTGCCAAAGATGTCCATCAACCGCCAAGGATCCAGAGAAATGAAACGCAGGAGATGGAGATGGAGAATCAAGCTTTAAAATGTAAAGATTATGCAGTAAGAATCCTCTACCAAGCATCAAGCCCTGAATAGACTCCTGGATAAAACAAAATTCAGGAAAGAAATGAGCTGATGCATTAGAATGTTTGAGAAGAGTACTGACAGAAATAAGGTTGAATTTGAATGATGGAACATGCAAGACGTCATGTAAAACAAGCATATGTGATAGATGAATAGTGCCAGAGTGTGTGATAGGAACTCTAGCAGCATTTGGCAAAGAAACTGTAACATCAGAGACAGTAACAATTTCATTAAAAAGTGTCAAGTCAGAACAGACGTGACTGGTAGCTCCAGTATCAATTATCCAACTACCTTGTGGAAGATTAGAATAAAGGGTAGACAAACACTGATGTTGAAATGTGAGTTTATTGTTTTCAAATCTTAAAGAAGTGGATGGGAAGGGGTCATTACCAGAGAAAGAGACATTACCAGAACTTGATTGAGGATCCATAGCACCATTCTCTGTAATAGACGCAATTAATGGGGAAGGGACTTGATTCTCTGAAACTTGAGCATGAGTATTGAATTGTTGTATCAGTGATTGCATTTGTTCTTGATTCATCTGAGTAACATCCATATTTGCTGCATTCATTACAGATGGTACACAAGAAGAAGAACTAGATGAACCAGACACCACATTGGCAATAGCATGTGACTGAGGTCTGGTATTAGAGAACTGCGCTCTAGGCTGAAATGAGTTGAAAGACTGCATTTGTGGTCTTGATCCAAATTGAGACTGAGACTGAGACTGATATCCACCAGAACTTTTAAATCCTGGAATGTAACCTGGTGAATATCCATGTTTCTTGAAGCATTTCTGAATAACATGGCCAGTCTGACCACAATATGTACACACCGGTCTTGGAGCCCTTGGTCTGAAACCAGTCTGCATTGCAGCATAGACACTGTTATCAAGAGGACCCTGATAAACATTTGAGTTCTGATTCTGATTCTGACCAGTGTATACACTTCCATCATAACTTGGATAATAGAATTGATTCTGAGTCACTAGAGATTCACCACCAATCATAGACTGACTGTGTGAAGCAGTATGAAAAACCACATTATCATTCTTATGCACTGGCTTGATATTCTTCTGACGTTCATCTTGAGTTACCATATTGAAAGCATCCTCAATAGTTGGAATAGGCTTTAACATCAATATATGTCTTCTTGTAGCCTCATAAGAATCATTTAAACCCATCAAAAACTTAGTTACCCTGCTTCTTTGTTGCAACTTTTCCCAAAGAGCAGCTGCATTACATTCACACTTACCACAAGTGCATAAAGGAATCTCAACATAATTTCTATATTCTTCCCATAGAGTAACCAACTCTGTATAATAAGCACTGACATCTAAAGCACCTTGTTGTATCACACTTAAGCGTTGCTCAATCTCATACACACGAGGGGCATCATCTTGTTTAAATCTTGATATTAGATTCTGTCATATGCCTTCAGCAGTAGATATGAACAATAAACTTTGACCAATTTTCTTTGAAACAGAGTTCATAAGCCATGTGGCTACCATATCATTGCAACGAGACCATGAACCAT